GGTTCTACCAATTCAATTCAACAAACATTAATTAACCATTGATTTTGTGTGTGGCAGTGGAAACAAAAAGTCAAAAACGAATCTCTGTCTTCAAGGAGCTTATATTCTATTTGAGGGAAACAATATATGTAGTGATAATTAAAAACATATACAGAAAATAAACACAAAATCATGGGGTGGGGTTAGGAAAACACTAATAACTGTGAAGAGGGATCAGGAAATATTTCTGTAGGAGCTGGCACCTTGAGCCAAGCATTGAGCAACATTAACATTAGAGGTAGAGGGAGAAGATTTCAGGCACAGAGGAACAGCATGTATCAGACAAAAAGAATAGAGCTTTTTTCAGCTTTGGTCTCCCATAACAATTTCCTATTAGGCCTGGCTTAAGGATGAAGTTGAAATGAGTTATGAAAGAATTCATAGTATAAAGCAAATAATAATAGCAAAATAACGTTTATATTCTATATAAGTATACAGTAGTTACTATGTACCAGACACTGTGCTAACCACTTTATAATTACTATCTCATTGGATCCTCACAACAAGACTGGGAGGTAGATGCTATTATAATTCCTATTTTACAGATGTGGAGACTGAGGCTAACTGAGGTGAAGTGACTTACCGAGAATCATTTAGTTAGTTAAGTGTCTGAGGCCAGATTTGAACTCAGGTTTTTCTGACTCCAGACCTGGCACTCTATCCACTACACAAAAGTCTGGCATAACCAGTTCAAGATTTACAAAGTACTTTTTCACAATAACTCTTTAAGTTGGTACTGGAAGTATAATTATCTCCACTTTAGAGATGAAAAACATGGGGCTAAAAGAAAGTGGAGTAACTTGCTTGTGGTCCCACATGGTTTCAGAACTGAGCTGTGAAGTCAGATCTTCCGATGATTTGACTGATTCTAGCTAATAATTTTTTTTCCAACAAGAAAATTTATACACATGTTTTATTCTTGAAGAGTTAACAATACAAACTGTGCCCCATCCCTGTGTGTACTAATCCTGTTGAATTGAGGCCTCTTTTCTCCTGCATTAGAGATGTCTCAAAATGCAAAGAGGATTCATTGAAAATTAATTCAGGATAAAGCTTCATATAGACTAGAATAGTTCTCTCTCTCTCTCTCTCTCTCTCTCTCTCTCTCTCTCTCTCTCTCTCTCTTTCTTTTTCTACTCTACTTCTTCCTCTCTCTTCCCCTCTACCTCCCTTTTTCCAAAGCCTCCCAGCACCCTCTGCAAAGATGTCTGGTGAGAATGCTGGGAAAATAAAAGGAAAACTAACTATATTTACCTTCATCCTGTCCCACCCCATTTATTCTACTTTCTCTTTTCACTCTGTCCCTTCTCAGGGTGTTTGCTTCTGATTGCCCCTCCCCTAAACTCCCCTCCACTTTATGATTTCCCCCCACCCATTCCTCCCTGCTCTCTTATCCCTGTCCTGCCTATTTTCCTATAGCGTAAGAAAGATTTCCATACCCAATTGAATGTGTATGGTATTCCCTCCTTTTAAAGCCAAATCCGATGAGAATGAGATTCACTCATTCTCACCTTCCCCCACTTCCTATCCACTATAAAAGTCTTTTCTTGTCTGTTGTGCGAGATAATTTACTCCATTCTACCTCTCCCTTTCTCCTTCTTCCAGTGTAATCCTCTCACCTCTTAATTTTATTGTTCAGATATCCTCCCTTCATCTTCAACTCACCCTGTGCCATCTATCTGTCTGTCTGTCTATCTATCTATCTATCTATCTATCTATCTATCTATCTATCTATCTATCCATCCATATAATTTTTTCCCTCCAACTACCGTAAGACTGACAAAAGTCTCATGACTTACAGATATCTTTCCATGTAGGAATGTAAATAGTTCAACTTTAATAAGTCCCTTATTATTTCTCTTTCCTATTTACCTCTTCATGCTTGAGTCTTGTACTCGAAAGTCAACTTTTCTATTCAGCTCTGGTCTTTTCATCAAGAATGCTTGAAAGTCCTCTATTTTACTGAATATCCATTTTTCCCCTGAAGGATTACACTCAGTTTTGCTGGGTAGGTGATTCTTGGCTGTAATCCTATCTCCTTTAATCTTTGGAATATTATATTCCAAGACCTACAGTCCCTTAATATAAAAGCTGCTAAATCTTGTGCTATCCTGATTGAGTTTCCACCATACTTGAATTGTTTCTTTTGGGCTGCTTACAATATTTTCTCCTTGACCTGGAATTTGGCTACAATATTCCTAGGAGTTTTCTTTGGGGATCTCTTTCAGGAGGTGATTGGTGGATTCTTTCCATTTCTATTTTACCCTCTGGTTCTAGAATATCAAGGCTATTTTCTTTGATACTTTCTTGAAAGATGATGTCTAGGCTCTTTTTTTGATCATGGCTTTCAGATAGTCCAATAAGTTTTAAATTCTCTCTCCTGGATTTATTTTCCAGGTCAGTTGTTTTTCCAGTGTGATATTTCACATTGTCTTCTACTTTTTGATTCTTTTGCTTTTGTTTTACAATGTCTTGATTTCTCATAAAGTCACTAGCTTCCAATTGCTCCATTCTAATTTTTAAGGAAATCTTCAGTGAGCTTTTGGACTTCCTTTTCCATCTGGTCAATTCTGCTTTTTAAGGCATTCTTCTCCTCATTGGCTTTTTGGACCTCTTTTGCCATTTGGGTTAGGCTATTTTTTTTGGGGGGGGGCTAGGCAACGGCATTAAGTGACTTGCCCAGCGTTATACAGCTAGTAAGTATTATGTGTCTGAGGCCAGATTTGAACTCAGGTCCTCCTGCCTCCAGAGTCAGTGCTCTATCCACTGCATCACCTAGCCGCCCCTTGGCTATTTTCTTCAGTATTTTTGGGGTATCCTTTAGCAAGTTGTTGACTTGTTTTTCATGATTTTCATGATTTTCTTGCATCAATCTCACTTCTCTTCCCAGTTTTTACTCTACTTCTCTTACTTGCTTCTCAAAATCCTTTTTGAGCTCTTCCATGGCCTGGGACTGATTCATATTTTTCTTGGAGGCTTTGGATGTAGGGCTTTCATTTTATTGTCTTCTTCTGGTTGTGTGTTTTGATCTTGTCACCACAGAAAGATTCCATGGTCTGACTTTTTGTGCAGTTTGCTCATGATCCCAGTCAATTACTTGAGTTTTAAACTATTTGTTAAGGTAGGGGTCTGCTTCCAGTGTGAAGAATGCACTGTCCCAAACTTTGGGGGTTTTGTGCAGCTGTTTTCAGAGATACTTCTAGGGACCTGTAAATCTTGAGTGATCTTCCAAGGTGGTATGATCACGGGTGAGGTGTTTACTCCTTTCCTGGCCTGTACTCTGGTCTGTGAGTGACCATAAGCACTCTTTTCTGCCTTGGAACTGTGAGGAGGATTCTCTCTTCACTGAAACTATAAGCTCCACCATGCCAGTGCTCCTCCTTACCCCAGGACAGCCACCCAGAACTGTGACCCAGATCCAAGCACGGCAAAGCAAGAGAATCCTGCCTCAGCACCAGCAAAGAGATCCCTACACTCCCCCTCTGATCAGCCACTTGATTCCCCCTCTTTCTGTGGGCTGAGCTCCAGAAGTAGTCACTGCCCCAGGGCTGTGCCAGCATTGGGGCTGGGACCAAGCGTCTCTCTCTCACCACAGTCACAGACTTTTTCTACTGACCTTCTAAGTTGTCTTTGGCATTTGTGGGTTGAGAAGTCTGGAAACCACCACAGCTGCCTGTTAACCAGTTCTCTAAGGGCTGCTCCAGGTTCACTGAGGTCTGGTCTTTGCCTGCATGCCCACTCTGAACTGCTTTCCTCTTCCAGCCCAGAACAATGGACCTTTCCAATCAAGCATTCCAGATGATCTTGGACTGGAAATGTGTTTCATTCTGCCTTGTTGTGGGTTCTGCCACTCTAGAATTTGTTTGGAGCCATTTTTACAGGTGTTTGGGGGGGGGTTGGGGGAGAGATCAAGAAAGTCACTGCTTTTACTCTGCCATCTTGGCTCTGCCCTCTAGCTAATAATTTTTACATGCTGAATTTTCAGGATGAAATTGCTGCCTTTTATCTACTGCAGTGCATTAACCATTCCCTTGAGAAGTAAGCAATGGAATTGTTTGCAACTCTCTTAACCCAAACTAACCTACTCAGAATTTAGCCAGTAACTTGAATCTCTCTGAATGTTAGATATGTTGCTGATTCAGATTCAACAGTATTGATGTAAATCAATCCTGAGTAACTCACCTAAGTCCCATTCTACGCCCATCTGATGCTTCTGAACAATATTCAAGGATTGATTTGTGGAAAGCATATTGCCATAATCCAATTTTGATTGCAATTGTATAAGAGACTGAAAAAGTCCACATTTCAGAGAAGTGGCTGGGAGTAAGCCTCTGGGACCTGGGTGTGTGCCCAATAAAAACTCAGTCTGGCAAGCAGCACTTCTCCTAGGGCAGATGGAAAATGCTCCTTAGATCACTCTGGACATTGACTACCATTTTATTAGAATGGAGTCCTCAGTACAATGAACAAGTTCATTTGATCCTCGGAAAGCATCCTCTGCCCCTCCCTTACCAGTTTCCACTATGTGCCAACACACTACTGCTGCCTTGTCCTCAGTAAACTTTTTCCAGTTTACTTCTTTCTAAACTGGTGTAGGGGTAATTTAAAAAAAATACTATAATAGATTAAAAAGAGATGAAGAACTAAGTGATTGCAGGCCCAAATACTTCTCTATTTTACATGAGCACAAAGAATATAGCAGCCCAGAAACCAGGAGACTTTAATGGAGAGTCCCCTATCTTCAAGATCCTTTTTTCTTTTTCCTGGGATATGACAGATGGATGGATGTGAATATGAATCTGTTTGGCCTTCAGGCTCATCAGTTACATTCAGGTCTTTACTTGAACTTGCAAAAGGGAACCTGAGTAGTTTTTTAATCATTTAAAATAAACACTACACAAACATACCCTGAAGGCTCTGGCTAGAAGTATATAAATACATGGAGAAATTAATCATATAACTTCACTTTGGGTAGATATTTTTATTGCTCTAAGAAAGACCAGGAGATAGGAAAGTTGAAGCATTACAGATATAGTAAGATAAAACATTTATGTAAGTTTCAATGGCAGAAAAAAAATCACTCTTTCATGTAAAAATTGAAAAATATGAAAAACACCCATTAACAGAGGCACAAATCTATCATGTTTGAGGTACTTATCATAAATTAAGTACATTCAGAATCATGGGGAAACTATTCCTACTCCCTCTATTAGAACTTGAAATCGTAGAATGTGGATCTCAAGGACTAAAATGAACCTCCTTTCATTAGATCAAGCACAAAGTTCGATTTTCATAAGGAAGTAATTTCAATGCTCATTTTGAAGAACATATATATGCATATATATGTATACACACCACATACACACATACACACACACACACATATGTACACTATGTTCCTTCTTTTTCAGCATGTGTTTCAACAGGACAGTAAAATTAAATATAAAATACTTTAAATTTCTCTTTTCTCCTCTTGTTATTCACTCTCTGTTCACTGGCAAAAAGTATTATAAACAGCTGAAAAAATGGCCAGGAAAACTCAGATCTTTATATCCAAATTCCAAAGAGGTAACTAAATAATATTGAAACTTGGGCCTCCTCCTATGCTAAAAGAAGAAATAAATTATATGATCACATGCTGGCATCTTGTAAAAAGCCATATTGAGGCAGTAAGTTACGATATGCATTACCTTTGCCAAATTTGCCAATAACAGGCCACTGGAGGCTATAAAATTTGCAACATAAGTGTAGGTTTTGATTATGTGGTAATTTTCAATTACTTTCTTAGGTCATATTATGCTTGAAAGGAAAGCAAATGAGAAAACAAAACAAAACAAATTAGATCACTGACATTCTTCTAAATATTGTTTTGTATTATCCTTAAACCAGTACTATAATCCACAATATTTTATAAAGAAAAGCAAAGCATCTTTGTATTTCACAGAATGTAAATCAGGGGCCCAAATGATCTAGCCACTCTCAGTGATGGTCAGCTTGTCATGTTCTCCTCCTTCTGTTGAAGCTGGTTCTTCAGAGATTAAAGAACTCAATTGTTTCTGGGCACAAGACAGAAACAGTTCCAAAGTTGATAGGCTTCTCTGGCGGATCACTTGATCAAGCTATGGATTTTGTTTAGAAAGAGAAAATAATGCCATTTAGAACATTTGAAATAAATATCTTGAGAAGAAATGTATTATGCACATTATTTTGAGGAGAAAAACTAGGAATTTATTTTCTAGTGCTTTAGATAATGCATTAACATTGAATTATAATTATGCTACTATATCTTATTGGCTATTTTAAATGATATAAAAACAAGTAAAGTAAAAGTTTATGACATAAACTTTTAATAAATGATCACTTATTGGACAAATAGAATGTTATCTCCTTCCTCTTATTGGAGAGGCACAGAAGCAGGATGGGGCATGTGTTGTTAAACATACCAATAGATTGCTCTATTTTGCACAGAACCTATCCCTTGATTGCTCGAGAACCTACAAAGATATTTAATAAAGTAATAAATGACTCAAGTAGCAGAAAGAGGGGTGAGTGTTTGGTGTAGTTATCAACTAGGGAACTCCAGGATGAGGAAATTCCCTCTACCAGAAGAGGTTGGTACCTTTTCTGCAACAGTCTTAATGTATTGCCTAGAGCACTAAGAGATGACTTACTCAGGCTAACAAATCAGCAATTTGTCAGAAGTGGAACTTGAACCCACATCTTCATGGGTGTAAGGCTATCCTTCTATGCCTTTCCATGATATTGAAGGGATCTTAAAAGAATCTCTTGCCCAGCCCCCAACAGAATACCTTATTACCATGCTATGTAACAGAGTTCACAATATACACAACATAGGTGTATAAGAATGGGTAGGTTTCTGAATTGCTTAGAGTACTGTTAAGAAAAAAAAAAGTAAGGTTGTAATAACTAGAGAAAGAAAGCATTTATAATATCTGCCACATAAAAGTGTGTGTGTGTGTGTGTGTGTGTGTGCATAATTTTTCTGTTCTTCAGAAGTATGGAGAATTAGAAGGCATTACTAAGGTTACAATGGGAAAGTTTACAGGCATCAGTGTGGTAAGTTCATATGGACATTATAATAGGCTAGGAAAACCACCAAAATGTTTGAAAATTCACTTATGTTGAAATGTTCCTTCCAAATCCAGCATTCTATGAGTTTTTATATTTTTAACTTGGTGCAGACTGTTTTTAAACAACTGTTCCTATAGGTCATAATTAAATTTAAAAAAAAATTGAGCATCTATCGTAAGCAGGGAATTAACTATACTAGGTCCTATAAGGGATACAAAGATGAACAAGTCATGGTGCCTGCCTTTAAAGATCTTAAAATTGAGTAGGAGAAATAAGGTACGAACATAACATGATAATACTGAATGAGAGGTATGAGCAAAAGTACAAGAAGAGTTCAGAGTAGGGAGAGAACATTTTTTTTTTTACATTTTAGATGGACTTTGGGGAATAGGGAGGATTTTTTGGCAAGAAGACACACAGAGGGAATGGTGTGAACATCAGAATAGAGGCCTAAAAGCTTGGACCATGGCCAGGGAAGAATAAATAACATGGCTGAACTTCTGTCTAGGGCATATAAATGTGGTAGTGGGAGTGCAGGAGCCCTTGAATGCCAAGCCAAAAAATGCAAATTAGGTTTTTTTAATGTATTGAAAAGCATAACATTTTCTCAGCACTCTGCCCAGGATAGCTGTGTGCTAATATTTGAAGATTTTGAGCAAGGGAGTTACATGACCAGGATTCTGATTAGGAAGATTAATCTAGTTACAGCACACACTGGCAGACTGGAGAGATAAAGAATAAAAACAGGGAGTCTGTTAAATCAATCAATCAATAATCATTTGTTAAGTGCTTAAGATGTGTCAGGAACTATGCTAAGCACTAGGGATGCAAATTAAAGTAAAAACATGAAAAAAAACCAGTCCCTGACCTCAATGAACTTACATATTAATTGGGGAGACAAAACATAAGTAAAAATACCTACAAGATACATACAGAGTCAAATAGAAGGCTCAAAGGGTCAGGAGGAGATGAAGAAGGCCTCCTGCAGAAGGTGATATTTAAGCTGAGTCTTAACAGAAACCAGAGATGGTAAGAGTGAGGAAGGAGAACATTTCATTGCCACTTAGGAGGCTATGGCTGTAGTTCAAGTGAGAAGTAATGAGGACATAAACTAGAGTGGTAGCAAGAGAAATGTAAAGGGAAGATTGAATGTGAGATACAATAGAGTTAAAACTGGCAGGATGGTGACTGCCTCTATGGATGCACAGGACAAGGGAAAGAAAGGAGTTAAAGATGATGCCAAGGTTTTGAATCTGAGAAAATGTTAGTACCATCAGCAAAAATAAAAAAAATTAGGAGGAGTTGGTTTGGGTGGTAAGATGACAAGATCAGTTGAGAAATAATAGTAACATAGTAGTCTATTTAGATTTGCTCATTATATACTTTAGTGTCAGAGCTAAAAAATGAGACAAGGAGCTAAATTTTCTTGCTTTTAAAAAATTTTTTCAAATGGTATAGCAAGGCATTTAATTAGTTGAAATATAAGTGATTTTAAAAGCTTAAATAATGCCTTAAAGGAATCTCGAGATCACACTTTCATTTGGTTTTGAATGAACCAGTTAGAAATGAAAACTACTGGAATTATCCAATGTCAAATCCTACTTTGCAGAATACTATGTATTTCTGTATCCAGTCATACATGGTAAGCCTGGTAGACAAGGTGACCTCCAAAAGTATACAAAACATCTATGTAGACACCTCTATTGATAGTTGGGAAGCTGACAGTAACCAGTTGGTGGCTTTAATTTCCTAGACTATTTCCTCGAACATTATTGAAATTCAGAAGAATCATTGCGACATTTGCTTTTTTTAAAAAAATGGGTTTTAAGAGAACTTCTGGAATGCTGGTTTTTAGATGCTAGGTAATGAAGTTTGGAAATTTTAGAATAATTTCAACAGTTTGTAAAGAGGCTCCAAGCGTTTGACCAATAATTGCTGCCAGGATATTTATTCAACCTAACAAACCTATGTTGAAGTCTTGAGTCTATAATTCATATGTTGCAGTTTTTGAAATTAAAGGCTAAAAGGACAGGAAAATTTTGATGAATCTTTTTAATAAAACACATCAATTACCTTCCTTGCATATGTTAGGAATCACTCTGGAATTTGAATCCATAAAGATGATGGCCCTAATGGCACTGGGTTTAGGCAGCTGCTAAGGCTCACTTTGTATCTTTCTTCATTTCTCCATAGAATTGTGTGAAAAAAAAATTCTATTAAATAAATGCAAGGTCAAAGCTCTGAGCGTGTCCAACATGGAATGTAAATCTTCCAAGGAGTAAGATATGTATCTGGACATAAAAGAATTGAGTATCTAATTTGGTGGTTCCTTCTATGTACGGCATATAAGATCATGTCTGTGAGGTACATTATTTGGGACCTTTATCTTAAAAAAAGATGTTGGATTTTTCTTCTCATAGCCAGCCCATCAGAATGATGTTCTTGGCATGTACCTGAATTTCAACAGTTTCTATTTTATTATACATGACCTTATTATCCTTTATTGAGGCAATACAGGCTTTGGCAAATTGTTCCACTATTTTTCCCTTGTAATGTGGGGTTTAATTCTGTATTTGTGGCTTTCATTTCAAAGTGCGTCAAAGATGAGTACTTTATGACACAACACTGTCAAATTTTTTACTAAGAGCACTGGTGTCATATTTTCAGATTTGATGTTTATTTTTCTTTAGTAATGGGGTAGCTATAAAATACTGTGTTTTCATCTTCATTTTGTGTTGTTTCAGCTGTCACATAGTTGTTAAAGATTCCTGAAAAAAGTTGAAATTTGGGGGCCTGAGCCTTATAAATTGTTTTGCTTTCATTTTTCTTTGATTTTAATCATCCTTTTATGGTTTCAGTTTGTTGGCTCCAACAGAGGCCTTGCAGAAGTCCACTGATTCTTGCAGACTTTAAATTTCATAACCATTTAGTGAAAAGAAGTGCTTGGCTGGTTTTTATCCACCTGTTACATTAGATTTGTATTTATATTTTAACCAGTAAGTAAAGTAAAAAAGCAAATGCAAAGTATGATCCCTTTCATGTGGATATTTTGTTGCTGAAAAAGGCAGAGAAGGAACATTTATGTAAGAAACATGAATAAAATCAAGAAGAAACAGCTTAGATAAAATGTTGAGGAGAGATGCAGACTTCCCTGACAGAAATTGCCCCTCAGATAAATGTAGTGAAAGGACCTGTTAGAAGGTAGAACAATGAATATGGTAAAGATGGCTGCTGTACATTGTGAGCCAACAATTCGTTTGCATGTGATTGTTCTCAAAGTACTAAAGGTTTTGAGAAACTTTAAATAAGGTAACTGAGGCCTACGAAAAATTATACATTATAGATCTCTGTCACAGATGATGGAAAGGAGGAATTTTTGAATTTCAAATCATAAATTAGAGTTGTAAAGACAGGTCCCTATTTATGAGAAAGCCCTGGTTTAGAGTATTAGAAGCTAAAGATAAGAAGGGGATGGGACAGGAGACAACTTGCTGAAGACAGAAGCAAGAAAGGAAGCTGAGCTCTAGAGGAGTGAGAGACAGGGGAAACAAGGGAATTATCCTTATGTAAGCAGAGTTGCTGCGCTTACATAAGATGCAGTAGAGGGGTTGACAGGAACTGATGAAAGTTGACAGGCAGGCTTTGCAGCTGCTCTGGTGGGAACTGTGCTGACTGGAAGAGAGGCACTGCTTTGCTAGCAGCTACTTGGTTGGAGAAAGGCAGAATTCTAATCTAACTCTAATCTAATTTATAGCCTGAGAAAGGAGAAAATTCTCAGAGGTTTTCTCATGTTGCTATGTTCTCTTATTTGAGCTTCAAGAGAGAGAAACACAAGTGAAAAAACAGGCTTTGCAAATACCTTGCTATAAGAAAAGGCATAGCTTTGCTAAGAACTGACTGGATAAAGCAGACTTCCCACATCAAAAGAGCATAACATTTTCTTAGCATCCTGCCTAGTGAAGCTGTGTGCTAAAATAACTTGTCATTGCTTCAATGGCCTAAGAGTAGCAAAGACATGACTCTGCCC